GGCGTGTTGAAGTCTCCTACTACTATTGTGGAGCTGTCTATCTCTCTCTTCAGAGCTGTTGAAGAGTTTGTTTTATGTATTTTGGAGCCCTGTTGTTGGGTGCGTAAATATTTATTATAGTTATGTCCTCCTGGTGTATTGACCCTTTAATCATTATATAGTGCCCTTCCTTACCTTTTGTGATGGATTTTACTTTAAAGTCTATTTTGTCAGAGATTAATATTGCCACTTCTGCTCTTTTTTGAGTGTTGTTTTCTTGATATACTTTTTTCCATCCTTTGAATTTTAGCCTGTTTGTGTCTTTAAGTCTAAGGTGCATCTCTTGTAGGCAGCATATAGATGGATCATGTTTTTTTCCAATCTGCCACATTCCGCCTCTTTATTGGTGCATTAAATACGTTTACATTCAGTGTAATTATTGATAGGTATGAGTTTAGTGCTTTCATCCTGATATCTCTTTTTGTGTGTTGTTCACAGTTTCTTTGTTCTCCTCAATTTTCTGTGCTGAGTCGTTTTTCTTTATGTATTTTTTTTTTCATCTTTTTCTTTGTTGTAGATTTTGTGTTTGCTGGATCTTTATGTTTTTCTACTTTTTTATTTTGATTTGTAGGCTTGTTAGATTCATTTGTGGTTACCTTAATATTTACCCCTAATCTTCTAAGTTTATACCAGTCTTTTATTACTTTATATCGCCTTAACTTCCCCTCCATATAGAAAATCAATGTCTCTTTTTTTTAAGTCCCTCTTTTTTTGTTTTAATATTATCCTTTTTTTTTTTTTACACATTGATATCTGTTTCCCTATTTTCAATGTTTTAGCTTTGATGTAATTTTGAATTCCGTATCTGAGTCAATATCTGGTTGCTCTGTCCTGTGTTCTAGTCTCACATTGTTAGCTGGCGTTATTGATTATCTAACCATAGGACTCCCTTTAGTATTTCGTGTAATTTTGGTTTGGTTTTTGCAAATTCCCGGAGCTTCTGTTTATCTGGAAATGCCCTAATTTTGCCATCATATTTGAGAGACAGTTTTGCTGGATATATAACTCTTGGCTGACAGTTATTTTCCTTCAAGGCTTTAAATATGTCATCCCATTGCCTTCTAGCCTGCATGGTTTCTGCTGAGTAGTCTGAGTTTATTCTAATTGACTTTCCTTTGTAGATGACTTTTCTTT